GATATGAAGAAGAAAAAATTCATTATTTGTACTTTGTATATTGGTGTTAAATGCTGTGTGTAAGAATGTAAAATAATTAGTTTTATATTTTATACTTTTAAAACTGGAATTATATAACATTACTTTTTCCTCTAATATCAGTGAGTATAATCAAAAGAATAAAAATAATGTACTTGTTCAGTAAAAATATTATTAAAATTCAGTTAATATTATATGTTAGACTAATCTCTGTTATACTTTACTGAAGATAACACAATAAATCTCTGGATTTAGAAGTTTTAGAGATAGTATAAAAAACAGTATAACAACTATAATAAAGTTAACATTTATTAACTATTAAGTATCAGGCACTATCATAATAATGTATTTAATGCTAATGACAATGTAAGTAGTAGTTTTCAACCCTAGCCAGTTTTCTTGGTGGTCAGAGTGTCAGCCCAAAGTCTGAGGTGCCTCGGGTTCGATTCTGGTCAAGAGCACTTACCTCAGTGGCAGGCTCAATCCCTGCCCCAGGTGGGGTGAGTATGGGAGGCAACGAATCAATGTGTCTCACATCGATGTTTCTCTCTCTCTCTCTCCCTTCCACTCTCTCTACAAAAATCAAAGGAAAAAATATCTTCGGGTGAGAATTAACAACAATAAAAAGCAGTAGTATTCATAAGCCACAGATTTTGCTATTAGGTTTTATACTTTTATAGTCATAATAAAAAATTAAAAAATAATTTACTAGTTAGTGAAATGACACTTTTCATTCCACATTTTTCCTTTGACAAAGGCAACAACAACAAAAAAACTAAACAAAAAAAACTGTATCCATCTTATAAATACTTAAGTGACCTGATAAAAAATGTGATTAGATTTCCTAGATTTCTAACTTTCAAAGATGATTTTAAAAAGAACTTTTCAGAATGATGGAGAAAAAAAGTGGTTTAAGATTTCCTTTTAGAATCCATTGATTTAGTGGATAAATAATGGAATTAATGAGTATTCTAACAATAAGGTGTAGGAATCATGAAACTCTAAAAATCTCGTGTGATGAAGCAGTATGCACACATCCACATTCAGACATATACAAGTGTATATGAAATAGTGTACATTTGAAGCACAAAACAAAAACACTAAAAGTAACATTTACCAGAACTCACATTTAATCATTCATAAAAATACTGATCATCATTATGCTAGAAAAGTAATTAATTTAACACAATTTGATTAGTACTTGATTGAAAACCCTTTGCAAGTACAATCTGCTTATGATTCTAAGTGACATCTTTCTAAAGACCTGTTCTTTTATCTAATTAGCACAGCTTCTTAGGTAATTATATCTTTAAGATAAATATTAGAAAGCATATGCTTTTCTTCTAGACTCTTTGTGTAGTTATCATAGGGATATCAAATTTCCAAAATATAAAAACCTTAGAGCAATTTCATCCTAATATTATTTTTTAAATCTGCCTAATAACAGTTAATATTTATTGAGCACTTAACACAGGCTAGGCACACTTCTAAATACTCAGTATTAACCAATCTACTAATTATAGCAGTTTATTACCCCATTTTACCGAGCAGGCAACTAGGCAAGGAGAGATGAGACAACATGTGCATTCATATCTAGAAGAGGCAGAGGCAGAATTTTAAACCAGACAGTGGAATTCGATAGTCCATGCTTTATTACGTTATACTGCTTTAAGAAAAAAATGGTCAAATATCTCATTTCTGTCAAAATTTAATAAAACTTTATATCACCTTGAAATGTGGTTTATAATAAACAACAGTAAAACTATATTACACTAAAATTTCAAACTATATGAAACTAAACGAACACTCCCCCGCCTAAGAACTGGCATTTGCTATTCTAAATGGCACACTGATTCTGCCTTCATTATGAAAGTGATCCTTATATTCAATCCAAACATATATTAGGAATATTTCATTTTAATCATTTCATTTTCATTATTTCCTCCAAATCCACCTGTTTTGTGTTACCACCTGAGAAGACACTGTCTACTTGCTCCCAGTGCCATGACTACATTTTACCCAAAAGGAAACTGAAACATGCTTAGTTCCTACAAGTTGTAAGTACTCCTCCCTCCCAAGCTGTGAGCCCTGGCACCCTATTCCCACAGCTACTGTCTTGCACTCAAGACAACTTCACAAAACTGTAGTGGTCTGTCTTAACTGTTTCTGTTCAAGATTACGATAAAACAAGTTCATGATTCATAATAGCTGCACTTTAACTTTCTTTCTTTAGTTTCAACCAATTTGAACAGAGGTGAAACACATAAAACCAAATATTTTAAAAAGCACAGAATACAAATTCTTTGCAAGATCAAACTTTCTGAAGGAGAAAAAGGGTAAAATGTCCCCTATATGCACGGGCAAGGAACCTCTTTTCTGCCAAGGGCCATTTGGATATTTATAACATCATTCGTGGGCCATTCCAAATTATCCGCTTAAAAATTAGCCTGCTGTATTTGGTGAAATATTTAATTAACTCACCCCTAACTCCTTGGCAGGGACAAACCAAAAGATTTTGAGGGCCTCATACAGGCCTTGGGATGGACGTTCCCCACCCCTGCAGTAAAGGATTATGCCACTAAATCTACTTAGTGTGCCACTCAATTCCCCTTCCTTGGATTTATAAACAAGGTGAAAGGCTAGAAACCAATAGTCCAAATTTGAGTGATGACTTAAACTCACTACCACCTTTTTCTAGTTTCAATTTGAACAACAAATGTACTTATGGCTCTTATGTGAAAATATAGTACTTATGGGTTCCTAATTTTTTCAGCTAATATGAATAAAGAGTTAAAATTTCTGGGTTTTAAGTATTTTTAGGAACCTTCAATAATCTCCAATTATTAATTTAACTAAACTGTAAATGGTCCATACATATTTTTAGCTTACCAATCTAAAATATGCTATAAATGAGAAAGAGAGAGAGAGAGAGAGAGAGAGAGAGAGAGAGAGAGACCCAGCAATTAGTGTGGTAACAGTCATGAATCATCCCTGTCCTGAGGAGGCAGTATCTCAGGTGGAGACCCTGGGCAGAGCAGTGCTCTGACTTCTACCCTTCCCTGAAGTAGGAAACTGATTGTCACCTGCAGGGCCTGTGGATGGGACTCTTCAGGTCTCCATTTTCTTATGAAGGCTCCTAATTCACATAAAACTTATCTATATATATAAAACCCTAATATGCAAATAGACCGAACGGCAGAACAAACGAACAACTGGTCACTATGACGTGCGCTGACCACCAGGGGGCGCACGCGGACCATGGCATGCGTTGGCCGTGGTGGGATGGTGGAGCAAGTGAGCAGGGGCGCCAGACCAAGGCGGGCACCGGTTGCTATCATCGAGGCGAGCCTCTGATGGTTACTGAAAATTCTTTATTCCCACAGGCCATGGTCCCGCCCGGTGCTTGCACCTTCTGCTGACACCGCCCCGGCTCACACCCGCTGCCAGCACCAGGCGCTGGTCCCGATTGCTCATCGCCATCAGTGGGTGTGAGCAGCAGCTGCACCATCAGTGGGTGTGAGCAGCAGCTGCCGGCCGATCGCCCCTGAGGGCTTCTCCTCCTCCCACCACTTCCACCTGCTGCCGGCGCTGGCCCCAATCGCTCTGCGCCAACAGCGGGTGCGAGCAGAGCCCGTGTTGTCAGTGCACTGGGCCCCTCGTATTAAATAAATTTGTATGCTTTTCCCTTGTTAATCTGTCTTTTGAAACAGGGACCCAGCTGGGAATCTAAAAATGCAGAAGAAAAGACATTTTTTTCTCTCCCACATTACGTTGGTATGACTGGATTTTCTATGAAATATACAGACAGAAGTTGCACATTAAAGCCAGATCTAATATGAGAGAAAAACATGACCGATGAAAATTCAGACATAGAGACAGAAAAAAACTGTAAGAAGTTAAGGTGACAAAATCGTGGAGTAGACTTCACTCTTTCTCGAACTTGGAAACTGGGTCAAACAAGTTTACTTATAATTCGGAGGAAAGGAAAGGCTCTGACAGATACCCGGACTGCGACTCTAAAATGTCAGATGAGATCTGTGTAATGATCTCATCTTATACACTAGGTTTTGCTACTTAGTAAGGGATAGACTTAGTCAATTATTCAAATCATTCAATTTCTATCTTATTCTCTAAATGAAAACTGAAAAACTTACATTATTCTCAGAATAAATTACTCTATTGTATAATATAATAAATATACATATGAATACATATGCTTGCATATGTGAACACATTTTAAGAATTCCATGGAAAATCATCAGAAAATTAAAAATAGCCTGTCAGTTTTTTAAAGTTGCTGAGAAGAAGCTGAGTCTTGACAAGGGGAATATTATCCAAACATCAAGATAAGAGAATAAATTGCTCAAGGAGAAGAACGAACATTTGTGTAAATGTGGTTATTAATTTAAAGATAAGCAAAGGTTGATTTAAAAAAGAGAGGGTAAATAATAGCAACTTTAATACAAATTGGTATGAAGAATAGAAATCAGGGTCATGACTTCATAGTCATGATAGATAGGCATTTTTATAATATTACTAAACGTTCAATTTACAATATTATATTGTTTAATCCCAGAAACTAAATCCTTATTCAATAGTATTAGCAATTATAATACCCTAAGGCTTTGCCTAGTGAGCAAATATTCTATAATTTTTAATATAACATACTCTACATTATAAAAACAAACTGAATCCAGTTGATGTTATTTTTCCTTAGCACTTTGACGCCACTGAAACACTTCCCCTTTAAAAATAGTCAGTGACTTTAAAGAAAGAGGAGAGAGAAGACAAGGTGTGACCAAAAATATAGTAGGTATAGAAGATGACATATCAGATGACCAGAAAAAGACAAATTACACTGGTGACACTGCTTCCTTGGCTGATGGACTTCTATTGCTATTATTTCCCCCATCTAGTTCCAGGACAACATGGACAATTTGTAGATAAAACAGAAAAAATCAGGAGGATATTCCACTACTAACCTGGTTTAGTTTCTTCCAGAGATTGAGGACAGGAGAAAGTTCATTAGACCAGATTTCTCTATCAAATTTGCAACCAGCTGTTACTGCTCTGCCCAAGATCCTCAACTGTGAAATAACCTGAAAGAACAAAATAAATAAATAGCAATAAATGAAAATGACTTCAGTCAAACAGAAATAGCATAGGTACAAAAGTGATGCTTATTTTATAAAAGTTGAGACAAATATAAACAAGTTTTAATCCCATTATCTTTGTTCAATTGACTTAGTATTTTACTGACTTATTTAAGTAGATAAAAAACAAAAGAACCTAAAAATAGTATGGAGGACCCTAAAAATATTAAGAATAGAGTTACCATATGACCCAGCAACCCCTCTTCTGGGTATCTATCCCAAAAATTTAAAGACATGTATTCACAAACATATGTGAATATGTTCACTGCAGCATTTTTCACAGTGGTCAAGACATGGAAACAACCTTAATGTCCTTTTACAGATGACTGGATAAAGAATATGTGATACATATATACACAATGGTATACTACTTGGCCATAAGAAAAGATGAAAGAACTAAATAAATTGATTAACAAAATAGATCCAGAGACATAGAAGCATGGAACAGACTGTTGAATCTGAGAGAAGGCAGGGTGGGTGGGTGGAAAGAGATTAACCAAATAACTTATATGCATATATGCATAACTCATGGACACAGACAATAGTGTGGTGAAGCCCTGGGGTGGGGGTGGGGGCAGGAGCTAGCTAGAAGGGATCAATGTGGATAAAAGGGAACAACTGTAATAATCTCAACAATGAGGATAAATTTTAAAAAAAGGAAAGATGAAATAGTGCCATTGACAACAACATGGATGGCTCTTAAGAATGTCATGCTAAGCGAAATAAGTCAGAAAAAGTCAAGAATCATGATTAATTTACATGTGAGATATAAAACTGAAAGCAAAAGAAGAACAAGTAAGAAAAACAAACAGAAACTCATGGACACTGACAACAGTGTGGTGGTTACCAGAGGGAAGAAGAGTAGGAGGGTGGTAAAGGGTAAGGGTGTCAAATATATGGATGGAGACAGAAGACTATTTGACTTTGAGTGGTAGACACACAATATACAGATGATGTATCATAGAATTGTATACTTAAAACCTATGTAATTTTATTAATCAATGTTACCCCAATAAATTTAAATAAAAACAAAATGACATATTATAATGTCTCTTTTTTGAAAAGCTGCTTCTTTAGCCAGAAATCTATAATTATCCATTATTAATAACCTCTTATCGTTTCTATCTGCTCATTTCTGAAATTCAAATATTTTTTAGTTTGATTGGTTAAATTTCATAATTTCAAAATGCTGATAAATTAAAGATAGTTTTTTTAAAAGATGAAATGATAAGAAAGATAGAAAATATCATAGCAAACTGTATAAAATAGTAAAACAATTTTAAATAATTACTTGTTGGTAAGAATAATCAAAAACTAAGTTTTAAGGCTCTATGCCGCGACCCTTTAATACAGTTCCTCAGGTTGTGGTGACACCCAATTTCATTGTTACAAATTGAACATAATTAAAGCATAGTGATTAATCACAAAAACAATATGTAATTATATATGTGTTTTCCGATGGTCTTAGGCGACCCCTGTGAAAGGTTTGTTCGACCCCCAAAGGGGTCGCGAACCACAAGTTGAGAACCGCTGCTCTATATTCATTTGGTGTTATCATCTTAATGTTTCTTCTACTCTTAAGACTCGAAAGAAATATAGGTCAAGTAGTTAGCAAGGTAAGGTAAACAAGTGTTCTCTATTTAGGGCTTTCACTCCTGCAACTTCCTTGTTATCAGGTTTTTCTCATTATAACCAAAATCAATTCACTCACATTTTCTTTTCTAAAATAGTGCTTAATGACTTCCATTTCAATAACAGAATAAAATGACTTCTGTTTCAATTCTAGAATAAAATTCTAGAATAATCTAGAATTTTACCAAGTATGCTAAGTATTATAGATACTGGGGTATGTGTATAAAAATCAGTGAAGTACCCATATTTCTTTGTAAATATGTTAACTAAATATTAAAACTGCTTATTTAACATAAACAAAATAAATCCCAAAACACAGGCATATGTTTTCCTAAACTAGTATTTTAAACATCAATATGTGCAGCATGTTGACTACTTTTTGAGAGATGTTGGTTGTTCTTCCTTATTAAGAGATTGGATTATATTTCATATTTTGTTGAGTTCTTGTATTACTAAAGTTTGTAATAAAATATGAGCCATAAATCTTCAAAATGAATGCACTACTTAATTGTGAAAAATTCACAATCATGCTGGTAAACTCAAGTTTCTCCTAGAGATTTTGATTGATTCTCTAATCTTGAAAAAACTGTGGTGATTCAGTGTTTCATTTTCTTTGTTTTTCTGATAAATTATTTTCATTTGCTCTAGCTGAACCCTACAACAGCACCTAATTTATCAGCTTTGCTAGACTGCAAAACATCACTAGTTGGTAGTCAGAAGAAGTGCTATTTTAACACTGGAAACATTTTCTATCACTTATTTGTGTTTTAAATTTGTCAATTATGACAGGAAACAAATAAGAATGCAAAGAGATGTCTGAAGGGAAAAGGGTTCAAATATTTCTTATATGTAATGTTAGAACTATTATAAGAATAAAATGTTTGCCAGACTAAAAATGGTCTTGTTTTCTGCATTAGAAATATAACAGGTGAGGTTGCTTTTCTTAATCACAGTATCACATTATATTGTAAACTTTAATGAACAGAGTATAAAAAGGGAGTTCAAATAAATAATAAAATATTTTTATAATGAAGATAGGGCTATAATTTATAACAATGTACTGGCCATCTTTTGTTTTTAAAAACCTTACATATTTGTCTCTTTTACAAAGCACAGAAAATAAAATGTCTTTTCATTATTCACATTTTTAAGCAATTAAAGTACTTTATTCAATATTGTCATGCACACTGCTTAACAACAAGGATATGTTCTGAGAAATTAATCATTGGGGAATGTGTCCTAGTATGAACATCAGAGTACTTACATAAACCTAAATGGCATAGACTACACTCCTACTATGTGTATATACAAACCTAAAAGGTACAGTCTATTCCTCCTGGACTATAAGCACAAGGGAAAATGATGCCATCAAAAGATGCAGTAAACATGAGATCAATGATGCTGTTGCCAGCATAACATGGCATCAGGGAAAAAAAATTTTATAAGTAGAAAGAATACACTCTAAAATAACAATAAAAAGTACAGTATAGTGCCGGGAGCCGGTCCATCCTTGCTGCTTGACACAGTCGCTGCAGGAAAGAAACATCTGCATAGCATATGTTTCAATGGACCTGGCATATATAGCATACTGTTCTTAATATGTTTGCTCCCTTTAGCGCCATGTGTTTTGACCAAGGTCACCTCTCCGAGAAAGGTTGTTTCCCCAGGTGGGGATCTTTCCCTGAGGTTAGGGAGGGGCTTCAACCCCTTAATTAAGTGCCAGGCGGGTAGTTAAGCTACGTGATCTTTACTCCCTGGAATGGAGATAAGAAACACCCTAACCTTTGTAATAGAAATTGACAGGATTAAAATCGGCTGGTATAAATACGGATGTAACAAGACAATAAACAACACAACCTCATCAGATCCTCATCAGATCCTCATCACATCATCATCAGATCCTAACCAGAACCTAGCCAGAGAACATGGCAAAAGATCCTGGACAGAACCTGGCTACAGAACTTCACTGGAGAACCTAGACAGAACATGGCAAAAGAACCTAGATAGAACCTGGCTAAAGAACCTGGTGACTGAACCTGGCTGGAGAACCTGGAGAACCTGGCTGGAGAACCTAGCGAGAGAACATGGCACCCGAACTTGGTTGGAGATCCTGACCAGAACTTCACTGGAGATTCTGGAGGGAGAACCTCCCTATGCTGATGAACTGAACCCAGTTTCCATGTCATTCATTCTTCGCCGACTCAGTCCACACCTTTGGGGATCCCTGGACCCGTTGGGGTTGGACCCCAACAGTATAGCAAATAAATAAGTCCAGTAACAGTCATTTATTAATCTTATCAAACATTATTTACTGTGTGGGCTATGCTTTCATAAGACTGGAAGCATAGTAGGTTTGTAAATACTGGCACCAATCACCACAAACACATGAGTAATGTGTTGTGACATGATGGCTACAATGTCACTAGGGCTAGGCAATAGAAATTTTTCAGCTCCAATATAATCTTATGAAACCACCAGAGTACCTGTGGGCCATTGTGGACCTAAACTTCATTATGCAGTGCAAAATTATATTATTCTTTTAAAATCTTATCAAAAGGGATAAAGTTCCCTATGAACAACATATTTGCATCACTTCTTCCATGCTCCATTCAGACTGAACATGGTGTATGATGCCTTGGTATGTTTCGGGATATCTATAAGGTTGTAGAGAAGATGTCACTCCTATTCCACCTGCCCTATTCCAAAGAACAATGGAGACATTTCAGGAATACCTCTGTTTTTCCTGAACAATAGGTGTGTTTTCAGACACTAAACCATATATACAATTGTAATTTCCTTCTTAACTTGGATATTATAAAGCATACAGAGAAAATTTTGATCCAACATAGAACTTAGAGCGTGGGTTTTGTTTTCTTTTGGTACAAACTGTTTCCCTAGTTTTATATTCTTTTCCTTTCCTAATATTCTTTTTTACTAATTTCCACAACTATTGGTTTTACACTAATAGGTTGTTTATATTTTTGTAAGTCACCTCCATTATAATTCTTCTGGGAGTGAGAAACAATATAGATTTTTGAAATAAACATATCCCCAATTACATGAGTAAATGGATTGTGAAAGAAATTAAGTAAATTATAGGTTTGTCTCAGGGATTATGGCAGACTCAATGTCTAAAGAAAATTTTGTAACAGTATGTTTAAAAATTATTAATAAACAGTAATATATTCAAAAAACTGTTAAAATTTATGACTCAAGTGCCAGAGAAATTAAGGGAAATCTTAAAATGTTAAAGCCAAAGAAGCAAAACTAATCTAAGGGGCCATAGGTTGTTTTGCTTATTTGTTTACTTCATATTTTAAACTACTTTTAGACTTACAGAAAAATGGCAAAAATTGTACAGAAAATTCCCATCATATATTTCACACAGCTTCTCCTAATGTTAGAGCCTTAAATTATCACAACACAATGATCAAAATGAGGAAATTAACACTGGTACAATACTATTAACGAAACTACTATAGGTGAATTTTCCCAGAAATGTCCTTCTTCTGTTTCATGAGAATGTCACAGTATATTTAGTAGTTATATAACCATAGTCTCGCCCCAAACTGTGACAGTCTTTCCTTGTCTTTTATGAACTTGGCCAGTTACTTCGTAAAATGTCCCTCATTTAAAATATAAGGTCCACATTTCCAAAGACAGGAAATAGAAACCCAGACCTTGAAAGAGCAGCACCCAATACAGTAATTAGGAAACAACATGCCCCACAGAGGGAGCACTAGGGGAACTTGATTTCTTCTGCCTTGGCTCTGAGAGGATAATGTAGTGTGTTTGAAATACTATGATTATGAACATTCACCACCCAAAAATGTCCACACATCAAAGCTTATGGAACTACAATGAATAAAAATCTGGAAGATAATTATAACAGTAAATGTTTATGTTTGAAAAAAAAAGCAATGCTGAAAACTGAACAAATTAAACAAATTATGAAGTTGAGAATGTAGATGAAAGCAAATAAGAGCAAAAAACTTTTAATAAAATAAAAAATACACACTAGATCAGATAAAAAAAAAGTCGTTTACTAAAAAAGACTAATAAAATTATGAGACTTCTGCCCTAACCGGTTTGGCTCAGTGGATAGAGCATCGGCCTGCAGACTCAAAGGTCCCAGGTTCGATTCCGGTCAAGGGCATGTACCTTGGTTGCGGGCACATCCCAGTAGGAGGTGTGCAGGAGGCAGCTGATTGATGTTTCTCTCTCATCGATGTTTCTAACTCTCTATCCCTCTCCCTTCCTCTCTATAAAAATTATGAGACTTCTGACTAAATTGAGTGATATCTAGACAACAGATTAAATAAGGGGAGGAACATTTTACTTTAAAATTATACTATTAAAAGGAATAATAGGATTAAAAATGGCAGCAGAGTACAGTACATGGATGCTGCACGGACATGCTCCCAGAAACAAACTGGGATTACAACTAAATACAGAAAAACTTCCTGAGTAATCAACAGAAACCTCGCAGGAGAGAACCCTGACACCCGAGGACCCGAAGTGGAGACAGCATAGAGAATGGTAGGAGGGGCGGAGGTGCAAAAGGGCTGGCCTGGTGCCCACAGACAGCAACTGAAGTCCTGGAGAGATATCTCAGCTGTGGGGAGTTGCCACTGAGAACTCTGGGGTCTAATCCCCAAGATGCCCCCCTCCCCCAACAGAGAGCACCAAACTGAGGAGGGACCCACATAACATCTGGCTCGGAAAAGCAGTGCCGTGCTGTCTGCCAGGGAGAGAGAGCTGAAAATTCAAGCACCCTCTTAAAGGGCCAACACACAAAATTCCCTGTGGAGACACCCACCTTTGCTCTGGCAGAGGGAGGATGAAGTGGACTGGAGCTGTGAGAGCAGAACCCAGGACTGGGGACTTGGGGGATAGAGCTCAGAAGGCCGACACCCCAAGTTTCCTGGACTAGAGTCATTCCCTCACACATTTGCCTTGCCTGGGGTGGGAAGACAGTTGACACACCCTATTGGAAAACACCTTGCCCTGAGGCCACTTAAGAGATTAAAAATAACAATTAGCCTGCGCTAAGGATGTCCAACTGATGGTTTAGGGAGCCGGCTTAGGCCCCAGGCTCCCGGACTGCAAAGGGCACTGGGCCTCTAGTGAAATATAATTCACAAGAGAACAGTAAGATAGATGCCTCAATCTTTCCCTTTAATTGCCATTTTTCAAATGAAAAGACATTTTTATTTCTTACTAAATGATAAACAATGAAACTAAAAACTCAAGTTCATAATATTTATAAGTAGTAAATATAAAATCATTGTGTACATTACAAAATTAAATAGGCTTATAATGTTTTCCAATCCACTTGCTTTATAGAACTCAAAATGTGACAAGTGTTCAAACATAGATTTTACTATAGTTAGAACTCAGAATTTAATACACTGTAAAAAGTTCATACTATATTACCTCTTTTTGTTGATGGTGTTATTTGCAAAGTTGTAGTTAATAAACATGGTCTTGAAATATGAGTTAATGTGTTTAAACAGAGGACTAACTCAGAGAAAAGAGCATGGTAAGCTGCCTGATATCAAAAACTGATTTTTCCGGAAATGTCTGACTTCTCTAATAATTGAAAAATCATTTGAGTCAGGATAACTGCAGGTGCTGAGCATGAGTTACCACATCTGCTGAGTTTATGAAAGCCATTCAGTGCAATGTTACTAAGATTATTACACCAGGAATTAATCCTCAAATGTTGGCAATAAAAAAAACCAACCATGATTACATCTTAAGAATAAATATAACATATTTTAAAATTTTTGCTTTTAAATTACTGTGGAGTCCATGAAAAAGTTCTAGAATGTCAAAATATGCTTAGGAAAAAAAGAATATGTAGCTAGCGCTTAAAAAAATATTCAGCTCTTATAGAAAAATCAATGTTACTGTTATAAAACGCCCTTTTATAAAAGAATTATATAATTAATTGCATGAATTACATTTAAAGTAACTTGAAATCACAGGAATAAAACAAACATATTTTGGATGAAACTGATAGTGTTCAATGATATTTTACTAATTTTAATAAATGTATTAAGATAGAACTATTTGGTTCATTTAAAAATTTATTCAAGGTAAGATTAGAATATATTGCATTAAATAAAATAACATTTTAAAATAAAAACTTGTAGGGTCTATAGTTTTAAATAAATTAATGTTATTTCTTTTAGGCTCAGTAGGAACGTTTTTTCTAAAATTTAATCTTTTCTTAGGTTACCTGAGAACTGATCATGCGTTGAGAAGAGCGAGCGATATTGGCAGGCAGACCGAAGAAACTAGGTTTGTCATCCTCTGGGAGTTTTTCAATGACAGCACGATACTCCTAAATATAAAAAAGGAAAAACAATTTTTCAAAAATGATTGAACTTAAATCTATTGAAATCCCAGACAATGCTGTGAAGTATTAAATTATTACTTATTAACATATTTCATTTCTAGATAAATCTCGCTTTCAGTTTGTATAATCAGTTATCTGTAAGTAATATTCTTTTTACAGCATAGGTGGACTTGGAGAGTATTAGATAAATGAAATAAGCCAGTCAGAGAAAGACAAATATCACATAATCTCACTTATATGTGGAATTTAATTAATAGACTGATGAACAAAATGGAACCAGAAGCATAAATACATGGAATAGCCTGGCCGGTGCCCAAGTTAGGGGTGACTGGGTAAAGAAGGTAAAGGGATGTGCTAAAGAACACATATGCATACCCTATGGGCATGGACAGTAGTTTGATGAAGGCCAAGGGAGGGGAGAGGGGAGTGGGTGGATGTGGCAAAGGGCAGGGAAAAAGGGAGACACCTGCAATTATGTCAACATTAAAAATTTTTATTTTTTATTTATTTTTAAATATATTTTTATTGATTTCAGAGAGGAAGGGAGAGGGAGAGAGAGATGGAAACATCAATGATGAGAGAGAATCACTGATCAGCTGCCTCCTGCACGCCCCCTACTGGGGATCAAGTTCGCAACCCAGGCATATGCCCTTGACAGGAATCAAACCCGCAACCCTTCAGTCCGCAGGTTGACGCTCTATCCACTGAGCCAAGCTGGCTAGGGCAACATTAAAAATTTTTAATTAACAGAAAAAGAAATATAGCCCAGCCGGTGTGGCTCAGTGGTTGAGCATCAACCCGTGAACCAGGAGGTCACAGTTCAATTCCCAGTCAGGGCACATGCCTGGGTTGCCAGCTCAATCCCTGGTAGGGGGCACGCAGGAGGCAACCGATCTATGATTCTCTCTCATCATTGATGTTTCTGTCTCTCCCTCTCCCTTCCTCTCTCTGAAATCAATTTAAAAAACAGAAATATTCTTTGTCATTACTACCTCCTCATATTTAAATTATTTGATACTATATTTTCTTATCCTAACTTTCCATATTCAAAGGAACCCTGAATTGATTTAAACAAAGATATTTAAGTGGCTACACTTAGTATGTGTAAGATATTGTGTAGAATGTTTTCAGGAAAGCCCTATAATTATTTTCGTTGTGATCTACAAGAGTGTAGTTCTGCTTATATCAGAAATAAATATTCTAGCAATCTTTTTCTTTTAATTTATAGAAACTCCAGAAGTCTATATACAAATACTCTGGCATGCAAGCACTGCTTTGTAAATCACTTTATCATAAAGCATTTCCTCCGTTTTCAGTTAGCTGATGAAATGCACTGATAATCCTATCATTTAATCCTAAGAATTACCATGAACATTGCAGACATGATTTGGCAAGTATGCATCTAGATGGGCAAGTAAGAGTATATATCAACAGGATTTATTCAGTTTGGCCCAAAGATGGAAATTGTTTTATTTTTATGAAGAGACAAGTTATTTTAAGGCAGGTATTGTATATGCATATAAACTGTTCTTGCTGAAGCAACGATTCTTAGTGAAGACACTCATCTTCCGCCCCCTGCACACCATCATCTTTTCCCTGTTCTTGGCAGCTGCCCCTGAAGTATTTCCAAGGAAACAATCAGATTCCAGGAAGCCCAACACCTAGAAATATGTCCGATTTTGGAAAGACATGCTATGCTGTTCTTTGAAATTATTCCTTTCCTATAGTTCAACATCTGTAATCCTCCACAAGGACTCCAAGCACAATGTGTAAACATGAGTGTAGCATGCATATGAGTGTAACCTTGTATACACGCACGCATTTGTAAATGTGTATGTGCAGGAGTGTGTGTGTGCTTGTGTCCCCCTATTCCTGGGAAGCTTTTGGATTCCTCCTCCTACCTAGGTCAATTAGAAGGCTAAACATTAAATCATCCTATAAATATAAAACTATTATTTTATTTGTGTTTATATACTTTGTTCATTTCAAAATAGCTGTGAAATTGTCTCATCTAGACTGACTAGAGTCTTTTCTCTACTTAGGACTCTACACGGACATGTTTCTTAAATAACAGGCAACATCCATGCTGATTTATCCCCACTTGAACACAAAAGTATATATAACAAATGATAGCATTTATATAAAGCACAAAAACAGGCAAAACTAATGTAGGCTGTTAGAAGGAAGCCTAAGGAGGAATTATGGGGAGGTGATAATGTTGTTTCTTTACCCCAATGCGGTTTACACTCATGTGTTCAATGTATAAAAATTAATTGCAATCCCATTTATGATGTATACTTTTCTGTATGAATTTTGAGATGGAAGACTTTTCAGGGTACATTTTCTGAAGAGATGGGAGACTTTTCAGGGTACATTTTCTGATATAGATAAATGATAAATAAGCATGTGATATATCTATTTGATCATTCACTCTATGGTTCTCCCATGAGAAAGTGAACTCTGCAGATGCATCAGAATCCACAATGTCTGGAACAGGGCTACCACTGGGCAAATGTTCAAAGTATATTACTGAATAATAAAACAAAACAGATGGGATATTTAGTAATATAACATATAAGATACTAGAGGTTTGGTGCATGAATTCATGCACAGGTGGGGTCCCTTGGCCTGGCCGGCAATAGAGGCCTATTGGGGGATCAGCCAGCTCGGGGGAGGGACCTTGGGAGGTTGGCTGACTGGCCCCCCAATTGGGGCCTATTAGGGGGGCCAGCCGGCCAGGGGGAAGGGCCGTGGGAGTTGGCTGGCCATGGGAGGTTGGCTGTGGGAGAACACTGACCACCAGGGGGCAGCTCCTGCGTTGAGCGTCTGCCCCCTGGTGGTCAGTGCATGTCATAGCGACTGGTCAACCGGTTGTTCTGGTCGTTCTGGTCATTCCGGTTGTTCAGTCTTAACAGTCACTTGGGCTTTTATATATAGAGATAAGAGTAATATGTTTAATATAGGTTTTCAAGCTTTTATTTTTGATAATTATATTACTGAAACAGAAATTTTTCTTTAAAAAAATGACAGAAAAAGGCACAATACTAGGAGAAAAACTATATAATTGTGTGCATACATATTTATATCTTTGTAATTAATGAACATAGATATAATTATATTACTCTAATAAAAATATTATTTGGGCATTTATACAAATATAGTTTTGAGGTAAAATAAACTAGAATTGAAGTATTTGGACTATATTTGGTACTATTTTCTGGAAAAGGGCCCTGCATTTTAGGAGGTTTTCATAGAATGACTCAAAGCAAAAAGCTACACCTGGTTAAAATAAATATACATACACAAAAGTGTTGCTATGAAAGCCAGATAATATCTTATATTTTTAGAGCTGCTTTAAATTTATAAGCCAGTATATGAAAATAGACATTTGTTAAATACTTTTTTAATTTCATTAATATTATTAAACATATCAGAGCCCTCATGCCTACTAGGAAGTAGCATATTCCCCCACTCCAGATCTTCAGAACAGTTCTACATTTAAAAATTTTCCTTTGCTACTCCCTTCAAGGTTTACCTACACAGTATATCCTATGATCATCAGTCAATCTTCAGTAAGTATCCAAAAGCGAATTGGACACCTAGAGTTTAGAGAATCAGGCTGCATATTGGTATAACAAATAATCCACATTTGTGAATGATAATTACTTGTGCATTTAGAAAGAAACAATATATATTTAACAATATAAGAAATAACACAAGTATATATCTGGTAATAGATTGACAAGGATTAATTTTACCTACCAAAATGCTGCAGGATTTTGGCAGAGATAAGGTATATGGGAAAATGCTTTTCTTGTTCATTTCGTTTAATACATCAATTACTGAAGAATTAAAAAACTGTTTCAGGTATGATTGAAGAACTCTAAGGTCAAAATAGTTATCTATACGTCCTCCATAAATAGCATTTTCAAGTAAACCATGGACAAATTCCCACTGTACATCTTTGGTACCTACAATTAAAAAATACTTTTATTAGCTTTATTTCTCAGATATTAGAAAATTCTTTTAAATATTCTAAAATATCAACTAAATACCAGACTCCAATTATATGGAAATATAGACTATTACAATATATTTAATTCAGCTAAGTCATTTCTTAAAATGCTCAGTAATATTAATATAATGTCCATTAATAAATAGTATTAATAATTAATATTCAATAATCACACAATGGCTAATATTTTTGAGATTATTTAATCAAATGAAAATTTCCAATTGTTATAAATAGACTCACTTAAGAATCATAACAAACAGAACTGTTAATATTATCCAATTATACAGATGGAGAAATTGAGATACAGGGAGGTTAAAACACCAAAATCAGGAAATCCCACAGATCTGGACTGAAATGAGGTACTTTGAAACCAGAGCCATATTCTTATCTGCCACGCAATACTGTTCCTTAAACTGGAAATTCCTTAGAAGAACATATTCAAAACATAATTTTATACAATGATGAAATTAGTTCATAAAGTAATCCAATTAAGAGGGAAACTACTAAACACCTTCACACATTATAGTCTCCTCAAAGTCATGATTTTTATAGTCAATTGTACATTTTCTATTCTAATAGAAAAGTAATGTAGTATTAAAAAAAACCACAGGGGACTTTTCTATAAGCTTCCATTTTGCAACAGAGATATCCTCTTAAAAAAATTTTGTTTTCAAGGAGTGAGGATATTTTTTTCATTGATTTTTAGAGAGAGAGACACATCGATTGGTTGCCTCCCACAAGTGCCCCGACCAAAGAGGAGGGCAGGTGGAGGGGAGGGTTCAGACCTGCAACCCCAGGTTCTTGCCCTTGACTGGGAATCAAACCCCTGACCCTCTGGTCCACAGATCAATGCTCTAACCACCGAGCAATGCTGGCCAGGGTCAGAGATATCCTCTTAATCACATTTCAGTGGTAATGTTAAAATGTGAGAATTATATCTTAGGTATGAGTAAATATAGTAAACACAATTATATTTAAACTAGCTAGTTAACATCACTGCTAGCCTTACTAGTTCAATTTCATTAAAATTTTATAATTCAGAGATTACAAAAATTGATGCCAGTATTACTATAGCCTTGGGGCATAGGTGATTTAGGCTGCCTCCTGCAGATCCAGGGCCCCTCTAGAGTGGAGGACTAATTAAAGTTGTTTCCCACCTATATCTTACTATCAATAATGGCTAAGTAGCTACAAGGGACTTCAGCAGGACTTGCCAAGTAAGTTCTGATGTTCAGTAAATAATACACTAGTAATGCATATGTCATTCATTCATTCATAAGTAAGTCATACAAGACATACAGAAACATTAATATACCTTTCAACTTAAAAATACAAACAGCCATCACAGAAAATACTTTATAGAATTTTTATTAAAAATCTTATTTTTCTTCTTATACCCATTATTCTCAAGACACGTTTTATTTTGTTTAGGATATGAGAAAATAAATAGAACTTAATTTATAACATAGCAATAGTAATAAGTCAATCATTACTGATGGCTTACTCAATACATTAAACATACTAAATGTTAAATACTTTACCTAGTATTTCCCCTTTAAACTTCTCACAAGTTGAATCAATTGAAGTAGTACCTACTATTATTCTTATTTTACAGATCAGGAAACTCATACTTAAAGGTCAAGAAACTTGTTGAGATCTCATAGCTACATAATCTCTACATCAACTGCCCTCTATAATTAGAACTTTTTCTCGTTTTATATTTCATTCTACATTTATGGAATTCTCGTAATATCAGGAAATTTTGTAAATATATAATCATACAGTTAGATTTTTACCATGATATTTAATATTATTTTAAAGTATCTGCCTCTTATTCACAACAACTCAATGATGTGATAGACATAAAAATCATGTGATGCTATTAATTCCATAACAACCTTGAAATATACTGATGAACAAATCATTCAAACTCTGTTCTCTGGTTTCCTCATCCTAAAAGGGTACTAATAATATTTGCCTTATAGTGGTATTATAAAAATCAAATAAATGTTCAAAAGCATTTTGGAAAATTACCAAATCTCTGTGCAAGGTAAAGTATTAGTACATATCCTCCAGAAAACTCTCTGTCAAATTAAAACAGTAGCTCATGGAAGTCTGGAAAGAGGTTCCCCTTGACACAGCACGGGAAAATGTTGAGTCATGTGTGACAAGAATAGGGGAGGTGCTTTGGGAATGTTGGTAATGCTGTTCATTGATTTTGGACTAGTTACATATGTTCAATTTATAAATATTTATTGAGTTGAACATTTGTATGTACTTTTCTGATGTACAATTTTAAAAAATGGTTAAATAAACAAAAAACTCAGAATACTATTTGGCATTTACTAGTAGTTATTGCTTGATGAAGTGGAAAGAAGTAAATAGAACCATGATGTGATTTGGACATGCAAGGAACAGAAATTTTCAAAGCACTGGATAATTGAGGATGAGAAAAATAAAAGAATCCATGGTGACTCATAGGCTTTGAACTAAAACAATTACATAAATGGTGGTGCCATTTATTAAAATGGGGCAGACGCAGGGAACAATGCTTTGGCAAGTTTGCAGGTAGGGATGGGGGAAAAGGGATCAAGAGTTCTGTTCAGGACATTTTTAAGCTTGAGATTCCTATCAACATAATCTCTTCTCTAACCCATCATTGTCTAAACTCTAGTGTCTCCTTGCCTGGGCCCTACATAATAAACTTCAGGGGCTGTTTCTGTCTTCAGGAGGCAGAGAATTTGTGGCCTCTGGGGATCAGATTATGTGGTCTTGTTTGCTTTTTGCTTCCTAAAGGCTACAGAGCAATTAGATCTCTTACGCATTATATCAAAAACGGTGACCACACTAGATAAGAACTCTCAGAGAACACAAGCATGGCGGCCAGGACATAAATCAAAAATAAAAAGCAAGTTTTATGAAAGAAAGTTAAGTCACTTTTGAAGAAACCATGATGTTAATATGTCAATTTTTTTCATTAACAACAGATAAAAATTTTCATCACGAGAACCTACCATCAAAGAGCCTGTCAATAATGGTGTAACCAGCCCGAAGATCTGATAAAGAAAACTCATAAAATTTGGTCCAACCCTATAAAAAGAAAATTTAAAAGTACTGAAGAACTATAAGCAGTGTTCAAAGATATATACAGATATATATATCATAGTCCTTACAAACTTAAAAACAATGTTCAATACATGCTAAAAATCCAATTCTGACAATTTTTAATAAAATAAACAATGGTGCTAAAGTAATAGTCATATTTTAAAACAAAAGTATTTACCTCCATAGCATGGAAAATACTTTATAATACCATAAAGCTGTTATCATTGAAATATGTGGCAATAGAGTCATAGGGAGAGAACAAATTGGCATAGTAAATTTTGAGTCTACATACTTGGTACACATTTAGTTCCCATAATTTTAAAACTTTATTGCTGAAAGTATTTCATGTCCCCTTTTTTCTCCTACTGACACTATTTATCCCCCCACTCCAGGCCTCCACCACCCTATTATCTGTGTCCAAAGGTTATGCATACGTGCAAACAAGTTCTTTGGTTGATCTCTTCCTTCACATCCACCCACCACCGGCTTCCCTCTGAGACTGCACAGGCTGTTCCATGCTTCTATGTCTCCAGATCTATTTTGTTCATCAGTTTATTTTGTCCATTAGATTACCATATGAGTGAGATTATGTGATACTTGTTTTTCTCTGACTGGCTTATTTTGCTTAGCATAATACTCTCCAGGTCCCCCTCTGCTGTCTCAAAGGGTAAGAGATCCTTCTTTTATACGGCTGCATAGTATTCCATGGTATAAATGTAACACAGCTTTTTCATCCACTCATCTATTGACGGGCACTCGGGCTGTTTCCAGATCTTAGCTATTATAAATTGTGCTACTATGATCATAGGGGTGCATACATTCTTTCTGATTGATGTTTCGGGTTTCTTAGGGTACATTCTTAGAAGTGGGATCACTGGGCCAAATGGTATTTCCATATTTAATTTTTTGAGGAAACTCCATACTGTTTTCCACAGTGGCTGCACCAGTCTGCATTCCCACCAGCAGTGTACTAGGGTTCCCTTTTCTCCACATCCTCACCAGCACTTGTTGTTTGTAGATTTTTTTTTTTTTATGGTAGCCATTCTGACTAGTGTGAGGTGGAACTTCATTGTCGTTTTAATTTAGATCTCACTGATGATTACTGACTGAGCATTTTTCCATATGCCTCCTGTCCATCTGTATGTCTGCTTTGGAGAATACAGGCTAAAAAATCCATTTAGGTCCTTTGCCCATTTTTAAATTGTCTTACTTTGGTTAAGTTGTATGAGTTCCTTATATATTTTGGATATTAATCCTTTATCAGATGTGTCATTGCAAATATGTTCTCCCATCCAGTGGGCTCCCTTTTTGTTTTGCTGATGGTTTATTTTGATATGCAGTCCCATTTGATTATTTTCTCCTTAGTTTCCCAAAATCTGTGCGCTGGCCAGGCCTAGGGACCCTACCCGTGCACGAATTTCGTGCACCAGGCCTCTAGTACATGCATAAAATAGAGGAAGTTAATTCTGCAAACCAAATATAACCCTGCAATAAGTAATCAATAAATAATCTTAGCAAAAAATAATCTTTTACTAACATGAAAAATAAAACCTGAGTTGAATTAATAGTGGATCTTTACTAATGAAAGTTGGCATTTAAGAAAAAAAAAAGCAAAACCAAATGAGAAAAATAAGCAAAATAGGGAATTTATAGAAGTACATATCTGTATGACCTGGTCTCTATTAATTAATGGTATTCTCTTTATTATTTGCTTTAACTCCAATTTTATGATTTTCATGAGATCAAATTTCAAGTGTTAAAAAGATGACATTTTCAATTTGTGTATATGAAACTCATACTTCAGGTATGAATTGCTATATATTATCTATTAAGGGCATTTGGTATTTATAATATTTATGAATTTTTAAAAATACACATATCTTTTGACCCAAACATTTCACATTTAGAAATTGGTCATCAAAAATAAATGCCAAAAGAGGCAAGTATAGGCAAGTATTTTGTAATAGCAAAGATAGAAAAAAATACTCACGTGCAATCAGCAATATAAAACTGCTCGAAAATACATTACTGACATAATGAACATAAATATTTTTAAATTAAATATATGGGCACTAATACTTAAAAATCTCTAAAATGCATTGGTTATTAAAACAAGCTACAGAACTATATTTGTAATGTGCTGCCATTTGAGTTAAAAAGAACATGAGTGTATACAAATACATAAAATGTTTGTATATTTATTTAATATTTCTTAGGGACACCCCAGAAATAGTGGAGTTGATGCCCTGGGAATAGATACAAGATAGCAGGAAGATAGAATGGGGAAGTATATGTTTTTTTAAATATTTTTATTGATTTCAGAGAGGAAGGGAGAGGGAGAGAGAGGGAGAGAGAAACATCAATGATGAGAGAGAATCATTGATCGGGTGCCTCCTGCATGCCCCCTACTGGGGATCGAGCCCAGAGCCCACAACCCAGGCATGTGCCCTTGATTGGAATCGAACCTGGGACCTTTTAGTCTGCAGGCTGACACACTATCCACTGAGCCAAACCGGCTAGGGCAGGAAGTCTAAATTTTAATAGCAAACTTTTTCGTAGGTTTTTAATTTGTAGTATATCATTTAATAAAAAATAAAATCTAATTTCATTTTTAAAATACAATTTTTCTTTTTTTAAAAAATATATTTTATTGATTTTTTTACAGAGAGAGGAAGGGAGAGGGATAGAGAGTTAGAAACATCGATGAGAGAGAAACATCGATCAGCTGCCTCCTGCACACCTCCTACTGGGGATGTGCCCACAACCAAGGTACATGCCCTTGTCCAGAATCGAACCTGGGACCTTATCAGTCCTCAGGCTGATGCTCTGTCCACTGAGCCAAACCGGT